ATTGAAACAAATTACATATTTAGATATTTAAATATTTAAAATATTTAGTTTATAAATTTAAATTCATTTTTATCTTTTTGGATAATTTTTATTTAATTATATTAGTAAATGTTAAAAAAATTAAAAAAATAAATTTTTTAATTTAGCAACTTTTGTAGTGAAAAATGCCACTAAATTTAGCAGTGTTTGTGCCTAAAAAATTTACTAAATTTAGTAGCCTTTTTTTTTTCATAAATATAGCTAACCTAAAACATCGTTATTTTTCCTAACATAGGTATAGCTGATGCTCTTAGTGGCATTTTTGGCAAACGTCGCTAAATATGAAAAAAAAAAAAAACACTACTAAAAACCTATTCTTTTGTAGTGATGAAACTAAAGTTGATCCTCAAAATAATTTGTCCTTTGTATATCTTTGATATAAGCTTAATCAAAACATGACAATCTCCATATTACTAAGAATTAGGGTTGCTTCACTCCTACTAATCAAACCAAAGGCCACTGCCAACCTTTTAGTATGATAACACAAGTGATTCTTCATCTTATCTTCCCCTATGTCATGAAGAACAAGACTAGTTTCAGCTATCTAACTCTTTTTTGGATAAACAGTCATATGAAATAAAAAAAGTGTCGTAAGTGTTAAATTCGAATTTCAAACCTGTTAAATACTACTTTTTAAATGGTGATTGTAGAACCAATTAAATTACTTCACATGGCCTAATTAAATTAAACTTTGAATTCACATGGCCTAACTCTTTAATCTTGAATCTTATCTCATCCAATTTTGAATATATTTCCTTATATATTTGGCATTACTATTTATCACCTATGGAAAACTTGTGCCTCAAACCATCCACCTTAATGTAGCTAAAATCAGCCACTTTCTTCACATCCCTGTTATTTTTTTGCAACTTAATTATTTTCAGTTGAAAAAAAAAAAGAGTATCCCAACTGATCATTTATATTATAGATGAAAAAAATCACCTAAGGAATTTCATGTCAACAAGTGTTATTTTCTTAGTTTTTATTTAATTTTTTTATTTTAACAATATTAAAACAAAAAAAGGCATAAAAATTATTTATATCTATACTATCTATACTAATTTATCTATATCAACCCATTCTCTATTCCTAGATTGTAGTTTCTTTTATATTTAAAAAAAATCATAAGGAGTTAGGGAGGTAACATATATCTATTTTATAGGTTTGTTAGGTTTTGGGTGTGGGATATGGACTTGTTTGTTTATGAGAGGTGGGCTATATGTTTATAGTTTATATGTTAAGGGTTTATATTTGATGCACTGTCAATGTATAGATTCTATACACTGTCAGCGAAACCGAATAATGTTACCTCATTAATGAAGTGAATTAGATGATATTACCTCATTAATGAATAAGTTTTTTTTTTTAAATTAGTTTTTTGTATTATTTTAAAGGCTAATATTTGCTTATTAATGAGGTATTATCATCTAATTCAGTGATAATGCATATAATATATACATTAACAGTGCATCAAATATAAACTCATATATAAAATAAGTCAATGAATATTTAAATTGATTTTTGTTATTTTTAAGAGATAAATGAGTTATGATTTTACATGTTAGATTTGGTTTTAAAGAAGATAAATGTGTTAAAATTTTATTTGTTAGAGTAAGACAAATCTTTAAAAAAAAAATGTTGACAAAGGTTTGATTCTTTTTAAATAAATAAACTCAAAGATAGATCTTTAACTTATTTTATGTAAATAATTCCAATACAAAATATAAGTAGTTTTATTTTATTTTATTTTTGAGTAAATTACATATAAATACCTTGTAACTTGAGACAGATTGAAAATGACTCTTAAGATTTAAAAAATGACACTTAACTACTTTATGATTTTTTTTTACCTAAAATCATTACTTTTTTCTTTTTTTTTTAATTTTTTTTCATCATCAATTTATTCTCTCTCTAAAACCAGATAAATTCTCTCTCTAAAACCAAACAAATGTAGTTCTTCATCTTGATATGAAATCTTTGTTTGTCAAGGTGCTTAAAAGTTTTGTAGAGGCATATTCAATTTCAACTGTATAGAAAAAGAAAGGAAAATTAATCAAGGATAAAATAAGTTGAATTAAACATGTCATGACCATAGTATTTTCTTGCGAACATGAAATCATTAGCTCAAGTTTAGGCCAAGCTAGAGAGATAAGCCAAAGCCATGCATAAAACTATAGGTCTTGGTCTTGGTAAAACTATGAAAGAAGGTTTATTTTCCAAAGGCTTGTTTCATCTAAAACTCTTGGTAAAACGTTGAAAGGTTACCAATGCTTGACACAGATTAGCTTACACTTCCAGTGCTTCTCTATTTTTCTCGAGACAAAAATTTCATTAGGTTTTCACAAGCAAACTTTTAAGTAACTAATTATCAATCGAATGTTTGTCATTTAACATGGAAATATTCAAGTACCATAAGGAAATTGGTAAAATGAAATAAATGAGTAGGGTCTCAGCAAACACAAGAGTCAAAGGACCATTTTCAAAATTTCGGTGAAGACTAGAATAATGCATTAATCATGAAAAGGAATTGCAATTGAGACTATACCCATCTTTTTATTGGGGTTTTTGATCTCCAATTTCAACTGAAAGACTAATTACGAAAGTTTTGATTGATTGTTTGGTCTTAATTTGACAAATCAGTTTAAAAACACATGAAATTTCATTGCTAGAAGTTTAAAGGAAGATTCATGGCAAATAAAACCTTCTAGCCACAAATTTATATTTAAAGTCCATGCTATTTGACTTTGAACTTTTACTTTTTTTAATAAACTACTTGCTTACAAGCTCAAATTAATGTGCCATCCCTGCTAGCATGAATTACATCCTGAGGTGTTAATGCATATCTATAGCTATTTTCAATTTTCACATTAGTACCAAGTTTAAGAGAGGGAGACTCAATCTTCTAACGAAGATGCAAGAAAAATTAAGAGGTGAAAAACTTCATTTGTTTGGTTTTAGAGAGAGAGAATGAATTGATAATGAAGAAGGAAAAAAAAAGATAAAAGATAAAAAATAACGAAAAAAATAATGGTTTTGGGTAAAAAAACAATAAAACAAATCATAGAGTAATTAAGTGTCATTTTTTAAACATCAAGAGTCATTTTCAATCCATCTTATATCAAAGGATATTTATATGTAATTTATCTTTATTTTTTACAAACATTTTCACTCATTAGGTATATATTTTTAAACTTTTATTTACATATATTTATTTTACATGTTACTTTAAATAATAAAAGAGATAAAGTTAATAATAAAAATGATCATTTGAAAAAACCCTAATGATGAAAATTATTTTGGAATTTATAATAACAAATTTTAAAATACTTTCTTAAGTTGAAGAATCATATAGTCAATTCTACTAAAAGTGTAAAAAAATTTACAATTTATTCCAATAAAAAAGTTAATTTCAAATGATCATAAAAATAATAATAATTCACTGTACATATATATTAAAAGCATCCCTTTAGGGTTAATACTTAACATATGCCCACTTTTGTAAGCTGTGTTAACATTTTGTTTATTTTGATTGGTTTTAAAGAGATAATGGATTGTGATTTTGTTAGTTAAATTTGGTATTAGGAAAAATAAATGGGTTGAATTTTGTTTGTTAGATTAAAATAAGTCTCTAAAAAAATTGTCACAATTGCTTAATCCATTTTAAATAAAAAAAAAGAACCAAAAGTAAGTTTTTAGTTCATTTTATGTAAACAAGCCTAAATTCAAAATATATCTAGTTTAATTTTATTCAATTTTTACAAATATTTTAACTCTTTAAATATATTTTTTAACTTTTATTTACATATATTTATTGGTTTTACATGTTACTTTAAATAGTTAAAGAGATAGAGTTAATAATAAAAATGATCATTTGAAAAATCTCCAATGATGAAAATTAATTTTGAATTTGTAATAACAAATTTTCAAATATTATCTTAAGTTGAAAAATCATATTGTATATTTTACTAAAATATAAGAAAGTTCTTATAATTTATTCCAATAAAAAAACTAATTTCAAATGATTGTAAAAATAATCATTCATTATTATTATAAAAATTAAAAAATTCTTTGTATGTTAAATAAATGAAACATTAATAAAAAAATAATAAAAATAAAAATATAATATAATATAATATAATATTATTTTAATAATTACTAAACATAATAATAATTAAGTATTTATTAATTTAAAATATATGAAAAATAAATATTTTACTTGTCTTTCAATTCCCGCAACGAAAGCACAGGGGTAATGTACTTGTTCATTATTATTACTATCAAAATTAAAAATTTTCTTAATTTTTTATATAATCGAAATTTTAAATAAACTAATAAAAATATAATACAATTGTTTTTAATAATTACAAAACATAATAATAAATTTTATAAAAAAAAACTAACATTTCAAATAATTAAAATAATTTTAGAGAATATATTTTATAAATCAATTTAATTGTTATTAAAAAATTTGAACTCAAATCTCAAAATGAAATGAATTTATTCACTTAGAAATAATTTTAAATAATTTAATAATTAAATTTTTATTAATTAAAACTAAATAAATCTGTTACTCTCCGAAGCGCGGCGAGAGCATTTTACTAGTAAACTATGAAAATCGTAAATTCATATTTTAGATCATGCCAAAACAGTCCATTTTTTTTCATTTACAAATAAATATAACAATTTAAAGTACAATATCATATAAAAAATATTTTAAAAAACATACAAATTAATTAAAATTTCATGTGTCTTTTAATACAAATTATACCGTATTTTTTTCGTATAAAATATAAAATAAATATATAAATTATTAATATTTTATTAAATACAAACATACGATTTTTCAAAATTTTTGCAAACAATAAATATCTAGTAACATGGTAGCCCTATTTGTCCTTATTACTTCATTTATTTTCTTAAATTTACAAAGTTTTTTTTATCAGCGGCCGTACCTGGAATCCAGAAGAACTATCCAGAGGCAAAGTCAATTTTCATTTTATTTTTACCCTCACTCACCGGTCATTCTTAACCGTTTACTTTTTCACCTAAACATCCTATAAATAATTCTCTAATTTCCGTTTAATTTTTACAGTCTTTACAGTCTACAACACACTCCTAAATTCTCCGAAGCGAAGCAAACTATAGTAGCTAGGAATCGCCAAAGATGAGGTTTTTCCCTTTACCTTTTTATTTTTCATCTCTTTTAATTTTTTTTTTTCACATTTTTCATTCTACCCTTTTTGTTTAGTTTGTTTGGTTGCTTAGAAAATGGAGAAAAATGAAGAAAAAAAAAAATTAACTTCCATTGCCGCTATTGTTGGTTTACTGTTTTTTGTTTTTTTGTTTTTTCTGGTTTTTGTTATTTCTATTATGCTGCTAAGAGAGGCCTTGAAGGGCTTAGACTTTTACTATTTGCGTTGTCTTTTTCTAAATGATTTTGTTTGGGGGAATGATTTTACTCTATTAGTTTGTAAAAGAAGTGGATAAGAAATGAAGAAAGAGAAATTTTTTATGGGTTTCTTCCCTTTTCTTAATAACCAAGAAGAGGGTTTGGTTTGAAGTGTAAATAAAAGTATGGTTTTTGAAGGGTTTCTCTTTGGGCAACTCTCGAAAAAGTTATTTTTGGGTAATTGCTTTTCTCTTTTCCTTCATGATAATAGGAGACAGCTCGTAAATTTGGAAACTTGACTTGTACAATAATTCTATTGCTATTTAGTGCTACGACTTGCAAATAAAATACTAAGACTTTGTGAGAAGAAGAAACCCTTTCGTTCGATTTTGTTGAAGATGTAAATTGATACTCTTATTCTGATATCCAATGCTTATGAATTGTTTTTGTTGTTTAAATTTGAAAAGTTGTTTGGTTATAGCCTAATTGCAGCCTCTTGGCTAAAGGAGGTTGATGTCAGAACTCAGATATACCTTGTTCTGGAGTCTTTAGGGTTCTATAATAATGGAGTGTGATACGTGTTATGTCTGCTGAATAAGTAAGATAGTGGGATGACCATGGTTGTTGTTGGAAGTTTAAAGAAATCCCCTCCCTTCTTCCAGTTTAGTGTTTTTTGATACAGCGGTATGATATTTATGTTCACCCCTGTTGCGCACCTGTTAAAGTTTAACAGCACTGCAATTTTAATCAAGAAACTTACTGATAGATATTGGTATAGTTTTCAGAATTTTTTATGTTATCCTTTCCAAATTTTACGAGGTTGAACACGTTCAAATTGTGTGTGTGTGTATAAACCTGTCAGGTCTCTAGATTTTTGGTTGTTGCTGCGAGGGATGCATTATATAGCTGTCAGACCATGACCCTATCTTACTGTCTACCCATTGTATTGTTTATGTATCTTTTACATCAGCTATGTTGCCTCATGCCATTTGTCTCTTAAATTATCAACTTTTATTAAACATCTATAATGTAGATTTTCATGTTTATGCCAGACCAATTTGGACTTTTTTTTCTACGTCATAGTTCTGTAAGTATTTGACTTGGAAGTAAGTTATCTATTCAGTAGTCTTTAGTCTAGGTTGTTTGGTAATATATAATCTTGGAACAATGATGTTTCGGGTTCTAGACTATGATGCAAATATCATTTTAAGATTTGCAGCATAGATTGAGTTAATTGTTCTAAGTACAAAAAATGATCCTAGAAAGATTGATAAGAGTGTTTATGATTTCAACTTGTTTCTAAGTTTCCCTTTGGACAATTCATATTGCAGCCGACATCCTTCAGTGAAATGGGCCCAGAGGTCAGATGCAGTCTTCATAACTATTGAGCTTCCTGATGCACAGGATGTGAAGCTTAAACTGGAGCCTGAAGGAAATTTTTTCTTCTCTGCCACTAGTGGAGTGGACAAGATTCCCTATGAAGTTGACATGGATCTGCATGACAAAGTTGACATTGATGTAGGTCCACATCTAAAATCTCTGTTCTAATGATTAACCTTTAATACATACTGGCTATACTGTAATATGTTTCATTGTGATGCTTGCAGGGAAGCAAGGCTAGTGTTGGCAAGAGAAATATCTGTTACCTTGTGAAAAAGGCTGAGAAAAAGTGGTGGAGCAGATTGCTGAAACAGGAAGGGAAACCTCCTGTGTTTTTGAAAGTTGATTGGGATAGATGGGTTGATGAAGAAGAGGAGGATCAGGTTCAGGACAATAAGGGTAAGACTAGTTTCATCAATATCTTGAATGGTTTTTTCACTGCTATATTTCTGTGGTGAAGAGTTTTATTTTTAGTTTGACTCACTGGGGATTTTTGTTGTCAGTTGGACCCGATATGGACTTTGGTGACTTTGACTTTTCTGTGAGTGGCGGTGTCATCACCTAATATTTAATGATTTGAGTGTCTTAATTGGACTTGACACTATTTACTTAGTTTTTCCATTTTTGTTACAGAAGCTGAACATGGGTGGTAGTGAAGGCTTTGGTGCTGCTGAAGGTGAGGATGGTAAGTTTCATAATCCATTCGCTATCAATTAGAGTGTGCCAATTTGCCATATGGTTCTTGATGTTTTCTCCTTGCAGATGATGATAGTGATACAGAAGAGGAAAATGTGGAAGAAGTACCACCTTTGAAGAAAGATGCCGCTTCATCTGGTGCTGAACTAGGGCTGTAAACGAGCCGAGCCAAGCCGAATAGTGAGAAGCTCGAGCTCGAGCTCGACTCACAACTCGGGGCTCGATACTCGGCTCGAGCTCGATCGAGTTTTATTTTTCAAGCTCGAGCTCAATTTGTGATCGAATTCGAGTTATTCGAGCTCGCTTGATTAAGCTCGATTAATATGTAAAAATAAGCTCGATTCGTATACTCGACAAGAATTTGATTATTCATGCTCGAACTCGAACTCGGACTCGAAATATTTTATTAATTAAAATAATAAAAATATATTTAAATATAAAAGCTCGATTAGGCTCCCGAGCTACTCGAGTCAGATATAAGAATATTCGAATTTGGTTCGATCGATAAGTTGAGTTACTCGAGTTCGAGTTCGACTCGATAATAATCGAATCGAATTCGAGTTTTTTTCGAATCGAATTCGAATAGCTTGCGAGTACTAATGTATCATTTACACTTTTATGTTGAATCTCAAGTCAAAAAAGATTAAAGCCGTGTTTTGGCTCACGATCATATATAAGATTAAGTTGAATGTTTTTACATGAAAATATTATGAATGTTTTTACTTGTTGAACCTCTTTTTTAGTCGAAACCTCTTATCATTTTGAGATTTTTAGATTGTGAGAGTTATAATTGTCTCTATCAAATCAGATAGTGAAACTATAATCTTGCTGCCATACGAGTTGTTGCTTCTTATTTATGATCTTACATACTTGAATTAGGAAGGAAATTTCCTTCTCTTTATGGGATCTAGATTTTTGGGGTTCGGGGGATGTGGTCTGAATCTTGAACTAAGCACTTGTCACACCTATCAGCGTTAAACCAGGCAAAATGGGGTTTTACTTCATGTCACCATCACAAGAGTTCTTGGGAACCTGTAGGGACGTCAATGGTTAATGGTCAATGGATAAAGATTTTTTTTTTTCAATTCTTACTTTTTCTTTTTCATATTTAATAAGTATTTTAAATTTATTTTTTTTTATTTTGATAAGTATTTAATTGATTCGAGTAATTTTTATATTCATAGTTTTTTTAAAAAATAAAATATAAATTATTTTTAAAATTTTTTATTTTAACCTATACATATTTATGTAATTTTTTAAAATATATTAATTTTAATTAATTTAAAACAAATTTTATATTATTAAATAAATTTTGTTTATTAAATATATAAATACATATGATAGGAATATGGGTACAGATGAATGTTATTTTATTAATTTTTGTATTAGTATTTGATAAAAAATTTTAAAATTATTTTTATTTTGGTTCTCATCTTTCAAATTTAATATGTATTTTTATTTGAATAAAAAATTAAAAATTTTTCAAATTTTGATAAGATTGACATTCTTAAACCAGAATGTAATTGGAGATTTCTAAATTTCACAACAAATCCAATCTTGCTTGATCATGCCTACGACCTGTCTGGGTCAGTGCATCGGCAAAGCTGCAATCAATCACCAGAATTTCATGAAAGAAAATAAATGATTGGCTCAAGTTATAAAAATAGTGTGTGTGTGTTTTTTTATTTATTTATAAATTCACTAAATTTGATATAGATAAACTCTTTGTTGCTTAAAAAAAAATTACATGAAAATGTATTTCTAGCTAAAGGATAAGCAAAATTCAAATGCCACGATTCCAAATCGAAATATGTTCGAAACTGAGTTCTACATACCAAATTCTAACGTAAACATGGCTTCATGTCATGGCAGATTGTTTTAAGCATGAAGATGTCCTATTCATATTTTTCACATTAATGGTAAGATAATATAAAAGATCTCAATTCTAAAGAAATTTGATGGAAATGTTATTAAACGAAATTCATTTGTAACGGCAGACTGGAAATATGTCAACCGTACTGTCCATCATTTGTATTGATCTGGATATCTCATACGCAAAGCATACTAGTCATTCTGGTATACAATCATCAATTTCATGTGACATAAGAGGCAATCTCATCTGTGCCACTTCAGAAGGTGGCCGTAAAGTGCAAACCATCTCTCGTCTTTCCAAAGTAGACCTGCAAAATACATAGATATTCTGACTCGTCCTACTAACCAAACCACTAAATTATCGATACTGCAACATGCAAAGGCAATTGATATAAAGAAAGCAGTCAACATACCTGATCCAATGAGTTCCGGAGCTTAACCTCCATTTCTTCTATCATCTTTCCCATGTTACAAAGATGACCATCATCAACTGAAAGGTTCATATTCATCTATGGACAAAGAAAGGTTAAGGTGAAAAAGGGCGTTTCAAATTATGAGTGCAAATACACACAAAAGGATGGTCAATACACATCAAGCTAACTGTAAATACATTCAACAAAAATCTAACTCGGTTTATGACATGTCAGTATGGTCATGAAACAGTATAAAATTAAATTAGACATCATGCTTTAACAATCCATTTCCCTTTTTTTTTTTTTGGGGGGGGGGGGGGGGGGGGGGGGGGGGGGGAGGGGGGCGGAAGAAGAAACTAAAAATGAAGTCCTCTTAATAGGGATGGCAAGAGGAACTCAATATTCTGCCTGCCTCTGTTTCACTCTGCAATCAAACAAAAAAATTTTAATAATATCAGATTAATGACCCAAATAACTTGCACCAAGCAATTTAAGTTTACCAATGCGATGCCCAAACAACTTTTTATCTAAAGTTTCGCCTGCAGTTTTCTCCTCTTATAAATAACAGAGGCCTTGTTCCCTTCTTGGGTTTTGTGGGAAGTGGGTACGGTATGTGAAGCTGGTGGTAAAGCTGTTGAATTTACCCACACAAAAATAGTCTGTGTTTGCACATCAAGATACCAAGTACAGGAGGAGCACATGTGAAAATCAGTTTTTGAGAAAACATCTGCAATAATAAGGCAAAATAGCCTTCTCAATGATAACTCCAGTTACGTCATCCTACTAGTAAACAATGGTGTGTGCAAAAGCAACGCCTCTTCCTTAAAATAGGACGAGAACAAAAAATATGTAGGATGTGTACAAGATTTAAGACGATCATCACTAGTTATGCACCTTTTTCCAACAGATTCAAACAAATCAATGCCTTCCAAGGTCACACATTAATTGACACTTGGGGGTCAAGAAAATCCAGAACCAGTTCCCAGTGTTTCCAAAATGAATGGATAACAATGCAGTCTTCATTTTCAAACCTCTAATGGATTACCAAAAAGTATATAAAGCTGGATTCTCCAAGGGATTAATAAAAGGCAGATAACAATCCACTAGGGAAAGCTTCAACTCTTCATTTTATAATAAAATCCCACCGATTACCTGTCGTCTGATTGATCCTGACAAACTGAAAGTGCCTGATGACTCATCATCTGTAGTCTAAGACACCATGACTGTACTGGTCAAGCATTATCGCATTGTTCCCTCCTCTTCGGTTGTTCACATTGACAGCGAACCAAAGGTAATTTGTGATTATTTGTGATTTTGTAAAATGAATAATGTCAAATATATATATATATATATATATATCTTGAGTTACATACTGAGAGGTAGCCCTCTCCTATATCATAAATCCCAACCTGACTATCTCAGGACTAAAAACCCGAGGCTTCCAAGATGAGTATCCCCTTGGGGATATGCAATTGTTGGCAAAAGGCAAAATGCAAAATTGTACTCTTTGGGTTTATAAACAAACAATATTTTTGAGAAACTAAAGATTGTTAGAGAACAAAACACATGATTTTACTTGTATGTAGAATAACTGTATAATTATATTAGTTTCGGTGTTCCATTCTTGTCATTTATGCTGTGATTGGTAGGGAGAATGGAAAGCGACAAGGATGTAAAAAGTTTTAATCCAATGGTTGAGATTCATAGTAGTTATGCTATTTTGTTGCTCAACCTTTTGATTAAAACTTTTTCCTTCTTCCTACCAAATGGAGTGTTCATCGTTTTTAAACCATTGCTTTTATAGCAATTTCTTAAGAAGTAAAAAGCAAAAAGTAATTATTGAAAGCAATAACAATTTGGAGCTTTACTTAGCTAGTTGTCAAGGCTGTTTTTTTTAGGTTTGCACTTGTAATCTAAATCACTAGAATATACTGCATAATAAATTGAAAATTTTAGCAGTGAACACTGATTAGAGGAAGTATTTTACACTGATTAATTAAAGGTTAAGGGTGTTGAGCTATTTAAACCCTTGTATTCTCATCTATCCTTTCACCAGGTTGAAATTGGCTTTTGATTTATTGATGTTATGAATTAGTCAAGTAGATGCACTAGGACCCTCTAGAGAATCACCTATCAAGATGGGTCATCAGGATCATATATCATCTGAAGAGAGCACCCAAGCCTCATCCAAATAGAATTTGTCTTATTATCTTTGTCTGCTTTCTACTGTTGTTTTCGAACTTAAGAGTATGGCTATTCAACCTGGACTGTACATCGACTTGGTGACAGCTTTGTATCATCAGGTCACTTGTGTTTAATTTTAGGTCATTTAATCTAACTTCTTTTGAACAAAAGATATTTAATATTAAGGATATAAATAGGTTCAAAGGTTCTGGTGCAAACTATGTTTGTAAATGATATTTAAGTTATAATAATAGGTACATATAAAGTTTTAAGACTGAATACTGAAAAAAGTCTGCTTTTACCAAAATTCTACACTACATCTCAGTACAATTAATATAGGTGAAATTATGCTTAAATTTTGTCTTTATAGTAGTTAGCAACAAGTCATGGTGGGATGCTTAGAAGCACTTGTCATGGCTTTGAGAACCATAGTTTAAACCTTGGGGATAATAAGGCTTAAAATTTACCAATCAAAAAGACCAGATAAATTCAGTTAACTCAAGTTAAAACCTACTGAGTTATGGTGGGCTAATTGGATTTTTAACTTGTCGAATGCAAGTATGGTTTTAAGTGAAAAATGGACTGGACTGCATCCCTAAACCAATTAAAACCTTGAGATTGCTTTTTTCTTACCTTCTTCAAATAATCTTCCCCACTAACGCTTTATACAAATAAATCATTAATGTGTTATATCCTTTGTGTAGTTGCCTGTAGACTTTATAAACCTTCCTAAGCTCAGGAT